CTTCCTTCTCTCTTACACGCAGGGTAGCATGCTGTACATGCTTGCTCTTCTCTCCTGTATCAGTACAGTGGTTTTCCTCATTCTGGTTTGCAGCTGCCCTGTGTGTGTGTGTGTGTGTGTGTGTGTGTGTGTGTGGACAAGTTTATTCAACCGATCTTTATGCTTGGACATTTAGGTAGTTTCCAGTATTTTGCAACTACAGATAATACTTCAGTGAACCCTCTTGTGCGTGTGCGTTTTCATATTGTTAGGGGTGTATCTTCCAGACAAATCCCTGCAAGCGGGGTTGCTCAATCGAAGAGTATTGATAGTGACTGAAAGTTTCCTTTTAAAATGCATTGAAGTCAAAAGAAGAAAAATGAGGTCAAATACAATGATTAGGTAGGTGACAAATGGGACGGGCAACACATACATGTGGCACACATCGTAGAGGCAGGCAAATGACCGAAGTTGGAGCAGAGCTGAGCTGGGTTATGGTCACGGTCCCTTTATATTCCGGAACAGAAACCTGGATGGGATGGGGGCTCCTGCTATATTATAGAAGGGTCAGGTGGAGCTCCCCGAGAACTCGTCATCAGAGCCTGAGTCCTGGCCTCAGTGAGCGTCAGTGGAAATCCGTGCACGCATGCCCCCTGATCCGCTCTCCTTGGTGGCAACAGCATGGTGCGTGTGCCCTGGGAGGGGAGCGAGGCTGTGCCCAGGCAGGCCTGTGTCTGCAGAGAGACGTGGGCCCCGGAGGGTTGATAGAACTATGCCTGATGATCTGTTCTGGCATAAAAGAGAGGTTCACTTTGACACTGAATCACCAGGAAAGGAAAGGTCAAACCTTCTTTCTCATCCTCTTTTAAAGATGGCTGTAGAATCCATTAAAAAAAATTTTTTTATGTTTATTTCCTCTTGAGAGAGAGAGAGCTACAGAGCATGAGTGGGGGAGGGACAGCGAGGGGGAGACAAAGAATCTGAAGCAGGCTCCAGGCTCTGAGCTGTCAGCATGGGGCTCGAACCCGTGAACCAAGAGATCGTGACCTGAGCCGAAGTCAGACGCTTAACCGACTGAGCCACCCAGGCGCCCCACGTAGATTCCATTTTAGAATGGTGAGAATGTGGAGAGACCGTCTCCCCAAAAACCCATTACCCACCCCTCTTTCGCCCACTTGGCATTTTGCATGCAGTTGCAGGGAGTTGACAGACCCTGGGTAAGAATCACAGCTTTTGGGGGTTGTCTGGATAAGATGGTTAAAAAGCAGCAGTGGAGGAGCGGGGACCTGTGTTGGCGTTGGAAGGACTGTGGTACATTCGTCAAGAGGGTTAACCTCAGCCGAGCGGCTCGTTCCGCAGCCGTGCTGGCTGCAGGAGGGTCAGGAGGCTGGGGACAGCTGTGGGAGCCAGGGTGACAGAACCAGAGTTCGGAACCATCGTTGCGCGTGGAGCGGAGAGGCCCTCGTGGGCCGGTCCCGCGCGAGGACGCGACCTGGGAGCCGAGAGGGCAGCAGTCCTGGCCTTCTGCCGCTGCCTTTCTAGCTGTGTTAATTGTCACTGTGCTTCTGGGTTCCGTTTCCTCATGTTCAGTACCTGGGACCAAACCAGTGGTTTTCAGCAGTTCTGTGTGAAGCTCCACAGAGTTCCAGAAGGGAGCTTCAGGGGCGGGAGGGAACCCATAGTCAGAGACGTCTGGGAGCCCACCCACCCTTTACCTGGAGCGGCTCTGGTCCCATCTGCTCATCGTGGTGCTGTGCCATGGGGAATTGTCATTCAAAATTATTGTGCAACTCCTTAACTAAATTTGGTGAGCACGAGACAGGCTTATCTTTCGTTGCTCCTCTGCTCCAGAGTTCCCGGCGTCCAGGGAGATGAAACAACCCAGAAGGAATTACCACGTCAGAGCAGCGTATTCTCTAGAGTGAGGGGCTAGGGCTCGGCCCCGTAACCTCGGGGAGTCCTCGGAGCTGAGTTCCGCCCCGTCAGCTGGGCTGGGAGGCACAGGAGCTTGCAGCGGTACAGGAGGCGTGTCATGGGTCCCAGGGTCGAAGCCAGAGGCTGGCACCACAGCCAGCCTGCTAGTGTTCAGATGTTTTCACTGGCATGCTCTATCAGGAACACAGAACAGTCAAGTAGATCTGCGATTTCAGCACGCGTGTTCCAAACACAGATCCGTTTGTTGTAAGTTGCACGTATTTGTATTGCCGTGTTAACGTTATAAACAACATAAATGGGACAGGTTTTTTAAAGGTGAGAATAATTAAAAATATGAGGTGTCTGCCCCACAGCAGGGAGGTGGGGCTCATTGGGAGGCCACTGAAAGAGGTTGGTGGGGGGGGAAGGCGCAGACGCAGGAGGGCGCGGTGGTTCTCAGCCCCCAGTCTGTGCCGCCGCCTGCTCTTGGCGGCGGCCCTGGCTGCTCGGACTCCTGCTGACTCGATAGCTCCCTGTGAATCGACTCCCTTTCTTCCCCTTATATTTCGCCCCCTCTTAAGTGGTGATAGCCGCGGTGAAAGAACAGGTTCTCTGTGTGGTTAGAATTTTCTTCCCGTGCACGTGAAAATAAACACAGAACTACACAAACAAACTGTCTGGACACCACTTGAAAATCGTGGGTTGGCCCCCGTGTCTGTGGTGGGGGCGGCCCCGTGGGAGGTTCCGGTCTGCAGTGTCTGACTCCGGGCCACACTGAGAAGGAGGGGCTAGCGGTCGGGGCCCATGTGGACCGGTGGGGGATGCCCTCGTCCACGCCCGAGGACCATGGCAGGTGCAGCCGTGCCCGAGGGGGTCCCAGAGGGTGGTGGGCATGGGATGTCTCCCATGAGAACACGGTGCAGGCTCAGGGCAGACTGGGTGCGGCTCTGGGTCACCCGCTCCACGTTGTGGCGGCCGTGTGTGCATAGCTGCCGGCCCTGTGTGCAGCCAGAGCCTCGTCCCCCTGTCCGTCCCATCACTGAGCGCTTGCCCTGTGGTCGCAGGCCCTGGGCCCGACCCCAGAAGTCCAGTGGAGAGCAAGACAGACAAGGCAGCTGTTCTTACGAAGCCCCCATTCGAGTGGGGGAAAGCAGACGGCAAGCAAGCAAACGGATACACAGAACATAGAAAATCCCGGCAGTTACAAATGCCAAGAAGTAAAATTGAGACGGGGCAGAGGGGACACATTCATGCAGAAGAATTCTACGTAATCGATGGATGCTACTGCCTGCTCCAGGAGCTGGAACATGGTAACTCCCCCTCCTCAGCTGTGGGCTGCGCTTAATGACTCACTCGCACTGAGTGTTGCGTGGAAGGAGGAGGGCAGGTAACTCTCCGGGGGGGGGAAGTGTGACCGGCGTCAGCTCCGTCAGGTGGTGTAGACGTCACATAGGCGGACACGGTCTTGTGTTGGGAGCCCGTACCCTCACTGCAGCGGGGTGAGAAGGGCACGTCTCCTGCGTGGGCTTCCTCCCGGAACCTGCAAGCCTAGTCTAGTGATGAGAAAACACCAGACTCAGGTCGGGGGACGTTCCGCAAAATACCTGACCAGTTCTGTCTCCTCAAAGCTGTAAGGTCACCAGAGGCAAGGAAGTCAGACACTTGGTCACAGCCAGGAGGAGCCCAGGGGGACGTGGTGACTGGATACAACCTGGTACCCTAGATGGGATCCTGGAACAGAAAGTGGACAGGAGGGAAGAACTAAGGAAGTATGAATGAAATACAGATTTTAGATAATAATAAAGAGGTAAAGGAAAAACAGGTGTAGAGGGTGTCGGAGAAGACCTCTCTGAGGTTGGTGGCATTGGAGCTGGGCCTCGAAGGATGTGATCGGGTCAGGCCAGGGTTGGGAAGACCGGGGGTGAAAGCGTCCCGGGCAGAGGAAGCAGCCGTGTAACGATCCTGGGCAGAAACAAGCTTGGGCCCCTCAAGAGTGTGGAAGAAGCTGTCAGCACAGCTGGAGAGGCGTGAGGCAGAGGAGGCCAGGCAGTGAGGTCAGAGGTGGACAGGGGCCAGGCCGTGCGAGGCCTCGACGCCGTGGAAGGCATTTGGATTTCATCCCGAGTGTGATGGGAAGGTGGTGGAGAGTTCTGAACAGAAGGGCGACATGAGCTAATTTCCACTTGAAATAACTTGAGTCTGTGTGGAGAACAAACTGGGGGTGAAGGGAGGCGGCGGCCAGGTGGGAGGTCCTTGTGCCGGTCCAGGGAAAGACCACGGCTGGCAAGGGCCGCCAGAGTCCTGGGCGCGCTCCCGCCCCTCAAGAAACAAGTGCAGGTTCACACGTCAGTGTCCTTTCCCTCCTCCGTCTCCTGAAGATGGGGGTTGACCTGAACTCTGGGTTCCAAGAACCAGCTGTTTGAAGGTCCACACCTCATGTCAAAGACCCCCGTGACACGGACACCTTACAGCCCACAGCTAACCATCTCTAATTCAAGATGTTTTCCTCTCCTGGTTCATATCTCTTTCGGAAAATAAACAATGGACGCCGTGCTTCAGTCGGTTGCTTCAAGTTGCCCTTATTTAATTGGGAAAAATACAGTGAGGTTTCTAACCTCTCCCTGCCTTCTGGAAGTTGTTGGGGGGAGAAGGAAAACAAAAGCTTCAGGCGCGTCAGAGCCTTTTGTACAGTGTAAACGGTTTCAGAATATTCTCAGTGAATCGGGTTATGATTTAGTAACCACATATCATTTTTCTTGTGCTGCTTCCCCTCCTTTGTGAAGGAAGTGTGGTATCAGTGGAGTAGAATAAGTATCTTAAAAAACACCTTGACGTTGAATAAGCTACTGCAATCTGTGCTTTTTTTTGGGGGGGGGTCAAAGTCAGGGTCACGCTTCTTGGCATTGCCGGGATGAGACCGGAGAGGGGTTCTGGCCTCTGTCTTATTTGTCCCCGGCCTGTTGCCCATGTTCCCGTCACTGCCGGCGAGCCCTTGCTGGACGTGTTAGGAGCCGTCCCCTCGGGCTTTGTCTGTGGCCCGGCTGTGTCTGTAAATCTAGGTCCGTGAAGCTGTCTGGGCTCATCCCGGTCTCTGTGTTTGCTCCTAGAGATAGAGATGGTGATCATGGAGCGCAGCAAGCTCCCGGAGCTGGCGGCCAGCATGTCCGTGCAGGAACAGAACACCACGGACGAGGAGAAGAGCGCCGCCACGGGCTTGGAGAGCGTGCAGTGGAGCAGGTGCTGCCCATCGTCCCCCACTCGGGCTGGTGCTGCGGGTGGGGCGCCTGCCAGTCGGGGTGGGGGGTGCTGCTCCGTCGCTGGGGCGAGGATGTAGGCTGAGCGATGAGGGGGGCTGCCTCGGCCGGGGTGCCCCCCAGAGGTAACCGGGGGCCTCTTCCTGCCACCCGCGTGGCGCCTTCTCCTCCGCAAAGTCATCCTGCTTCCTTCCTGCTCCTCCAGCCCCCCGGCCACCACAGGCACAGCCCCTCTCGAGAGGCCACAGGAACGAAGCTGCCACTCAACCCTGTAGCGCTCACCCCTTGGAAAGGGGAAGACTGAGACATGGCGCCCCCCCCCCCCCAAGTGCTTTGGGGCTGTGCCCTGTCCTAAAGGGTGTGGACCACCCGTGGCCGTGCCCTGCCGCTCCCAGGAGGGAGCCCCTTGGGAGCCGTGTTTGGATCTCCCTGGCTCACTCGTTCACTGCCGTGCTACCCCGCCGCCTGTGGGGCGTGCCCTTGTGGCTCAGCCAGCGTGATTTAATGCTGCTGTCCACCTTCGACTTTTCCCCTGATTTTTCATTTCACTGATGGCCCGCGGCAGCGAAATCCTCTTAAACCGTGGAGATGCCACATTTCCCGGAAACTTGCTGCAGCACCGCCCCTTCCAGAATGAGACAGGGTGTAAGCTTGCTCTCAAAGTGTGCGGTGAACTGTTGCGAGGGCTTCTTCGTTTCAGAGTTACTTCCTTAACAGGTGGCCCCCCAGGCTGACCCCCGCGCTGACCTGATCCTCCTTCAGGGTTCATAAACGCACGGCACGTCAGCCTACAGAGCACTCCCTTCCTGGCCTCTCGGGCCGGAGTGGCTGAAACACACACACCATCCTCTTTATTCGTCCAGCTTGAAGCAGAGAGTTGAAGCACACTAATTTTTTCCTCCACATCCCTTGGCTTGGCAAATGTTTCAGTTATCTAACAGACAGGATTAATTTCTGTCAGATGCACAAGGGGGCCATTTTTACTTTGGTTTCAACAAAAAACCCTGGAGTGTGGTGCAGGCTATCAGTTGTTGGAACTCACAGAGACCTTTTTGATTTTGCTTGGCAGCAAAAAACATAACTCCTGGAGCTCTGAAAATGAAGGGAATCATTCTCAACACAGAAAGGGACGGGAAAACAACCTTTAGTTGCTTGGCACAGCATTAGTTAGGATAGGAATGATTGGAAAAACCACAAATGACTAGTAGCGGGGGGGTGGTGCATAAGCAAACAGGGGAGCGTCGGCTTGATAGAATATCAGCTGCTGCTTTTAAGTGAATACTGTCAGGATATGTTGGGTTCCTTAGGATCTAATAAATGGAAACAGAGCACATATTTGACATAGTATGGTAATAGTATAGCTTCGCCAAACGAAAGAAAATAAGCATGTATTCTTTAAAAAAAAAGGGGGGGGACAGACCACATTGTTATGTTTTGAATGTTCGGTTGAGATTTCTTTCTTTTTTTGTTTTTTCCTGATTTTTAGTGAAGAGAGGGGTTTTCTTAGAGTCGATTGAGATTGTTTCGTAACTTTCTTTGACTTTAACTGACATCTTTTACCACGTGGCTTGTAATGCAAGCTGAGCCTGGTGCCTTGAGTTGGGCCCACGTGCAAGCTTGCGGCCGCGGGAACCCTTGGGTCAGGGCTGTGCTTTGCGCTGAGACCCAATCCAAGGGGAGACTGGAGCAGGTCGATAGTTGCCTTCTCCTTTGCAAAGGTATCGAGTTGTTGCTTGTCAGAAACACTGCCACGGACTTCTCCCCTCCCGGTTCCGGGCACTGAGCAGGGAGGAGGGCGCTCCGGGGGAGGGAGGGAGCGGACTGTTCTCCTTGACATGAATCGCATCTTGACATTGGCCCACTTGTCTGAAGAAACAGCGGAGTACAAAGCGGAACTGTTCTACTCCTCGTATATCGTGGGCCTATGTCTGCATTCGGGGTTAAATACAGGCCTGAGAAACTGAAAAATGTTTAAAAAAATTTTTTTGTTCTTTTCTTAAAAAAAAAAAGTTAAAAAAATTACAAAAGTAATACACATTCAGAAAACGTGAAAACATTTTGAAAAAGTGTATGAAGAAGGGGAAGAGGTCTCCGTGATGCCAGTCTCGAAGGCAGCTGTTACTAACATCCTGGTTATTTCCTGCCAGTCGTTTTTCATTGCCCGTTTAGTGGGAACTGTGCCCTCCGTGCCCCCAGTACTTACACTTTGCCGTTTATCATTTTGTCTTCTTTCTTTCCATCCAGTACCTAACACCAGGCATCTTTTTCACTGCGCTGTACTCTCAGCAAACACAATGCTAATGGCCACACGACACTTCATCTCCTAGAAGATGTTATGTCCCCCCGGCCCTCCCTCTGTTCCTGGGCATTTGGTTATGTGTATTGCTCCCAAACGAAAATATAATCCACATTCCGAGCGGCTGGTTTACAAGAAAACGTTTTTTATCCTGCTCTCAAGTTTGGAAGTGTTATTGCCAGGAACTTACAGAAACCCAAATCTGCACATGGCAAAACTATTCAGGCATCTGAAAGGTGCCGGATCTGGGCCGGGGAAGGTCTGGGGCCCTGGAGAAGCAGCCTGGACCTAATTGTCCCCTTCTAAAAAGGGTTCTTCCTTCAATTTCCGAGTGTCCGGTGTTCCTTTGAAATGTTGCCACAAGAACATTTTCACTCCTTTCTCTTTGGCCTCTTCCAGTTAAATATTTTATTTTGAATCACTGGTATGTTTATGGGATTCAGATTTTTTTTTTTTTTTTTTTAAGTCTAAAAGGTTAGGCAGTGAAGCGTCTCCCTGTGTGTCTCCCACACCTCTTCACTGCCCCCTACACAGTGGTGTGGACGGTGGCTGTGTGACCTTCTAGGAGCTACGTGTGCTCCGTCATTCACCAAGGTGCTCTGTTTTCTTGGCTTCGGCCTGGCATCCAGAGAGGCGGCCACCGTTGGTCACAGGCTCAGAGCCCCCTGTCTGTGCGGCCGTATCTGTGCGTGTTCTGTCATCCTTGTGGTGAACATCCTTGTTCTATCTCTCCAGACCAGGCCCTTCCCCTGGAAGGGCAGCATTTGGGGTGTGCGGTTTGTGGTATTTCCACTAAGCATCAGAGTTGAGACCTCACATCGCTTCTTGCCCGTCAGAGAAAGTCCGTCCAAGAAACTGCTGGGCCAGCACCTGCCAAAGCGAGCTCGTGGAGAAAGTGCCCTTGGAAAACACAAAACAGGGATCCTCTGTCCGCTGCTCCACGCGAGGACGCTTGGCACTGTGTTCAAGGCCCTTCGTGGTTTCACTTGAACCCTCACCGGAACCCCGTGAGGGTTTAATCCCTACTTTCCCGATGGGCAAACGGACAGGTTTTAGGTAGCTGACCCAAGGGTTTGCAGCTAGGAGAGGCTGAATCCGAATTGGAACCCAGGCAGTCTGTCTCCAGGGCCCACGTTCTGAAATTGTTCGGACTTGCTGGTGCTCTGTCTGCTGTTGTCTGTCTCCCTCGCCGCTCCCTGTTCTTCCTTCGCCCCTCACTCGTCTCAGCGATGATGTGGTCCGTCTGTTCGCCGGCATGGGAGTGCCCCAGGAGCAGGGCTTTGCGTCGTTTACCCCCATTGTCTCGAACAGCTGGGGCATGACTGTTGTGTGCTAAGGGGTCTGGTCCTCTGTCACTTTCCCCTGGAGATAGCTTCCCCCGGGCAGGGCCCGTCCCCCACGCCTGGTGTTGGCCGCGGCACTCAGAGGGCTCGCCGCGTGCTGGTGGGAGAGAAGTGGTCACCGTGTGCGCCAGGAGGCTCATGCGTGCCCCTCCTCTTTTCCAGACCCTTCCTCGATATGGTGTACCACGCCCTGGACAGCCCGGACGACGACTACCACGCACTGTTTGTGCTCTGCCTCCTCTATGCCATGTCTCATAACAAAGGTAAGCCTTCTCACCTCGCCCGCCTTCCTGGCATCCCCCTCCTCTGCCTCGTGGAACAAAAAAAAAAGAAAGCCGCTCTCCTTGAGGGATGCCCTTTCTGGTTTTGGCAGACTCCCCCGAAACTTCTCTTCAGCCTCGTCAGAATTTCTCAGGTGCTTTTGCACAGACCAAAGCCACAGGAATTGGTTACTCAGGCAATATGGCGGGTGGGAGGAAGGGTACAAGTGAGCGTCTAACCTGGTATGACTATCTTCACACTGTGGTTTTCTTTCGACCCCTCGCTTTTACAACCGGCTGAGCACCCGACCTCTTTTCCTAACATCAGAACTGAAATCAGTCAAATTGTGATCTTGGTTTTGCTATTTATAATAGCTGAAGTTCTTGCTCTGGGTTGAGGGCTAAAATAGACTCTGGGCAGATTGGGTGGAATTGTAGGTTTCCTTTCTGAAGAAAGGTGTGGTTCTCTGGCTTCCCCCATTGAGGTGGAGTGGTCAGGATCAGAGTCCTGTGGAACTGACAGATCTGGTTAGGATTCATTCATTCACTTCCTCCCTGGGGACGGCCTCTGGTGTACCCCCCACCTGGCTTGACACCGGTAGGTTCTGAAACCTCCACATCAGAATCTCTGCAAAGAAATCAAGAACATTCTTTCTGGCCTCTGCCAGGAGCTGGGCTTGGCGTAGAGGAGACTTTGTAGCAGGTGACGTTTTAGGAGGTTTTTCATAAGCTAATTGGGAGGTGTGGAGGTGGATGTGGGTTTTACTAAGACAGCCTATGCCTAGAAACGTTTAAGAAGCTCTCGACATAGTAAATATTTACTCTTAAATCTTTAACCCTGATAAATAAGTGGACTAGTGGCAAAAATATATACGATAAAAAAAAAAGCCTCCCCTCCCATCTCTGTCCTCCACCCTCTTCTTCAAGGCAGTTCGTGTTAGCATTTTCTTGCGTGTCTCTTTAGAGATCTCCATGCAGACCCAAGTACGAGCGTATAGGATTTTATTTCTATGACTGCCCCGCACTGAACCATAAACAAGGTGTCCCTAATTGTCCCTACCCTGTTTTTCTGACCTCGTCATGTATCCACGCATCATGTTCCTAGAGAACTGCCTTGTTCTTTTTGATCGTCATGTCTGTGCATCATTTATTCTGCCATCATCCCCTTATTGAACAGCACCGAAACTCCTTCCAGGCTTTTCCCACCGTGGAGAGGACCCACTGTGATGGCTCTTGTCATGTGTAAGTCATTGTGCACCCGGCAGGAGACCTCTAAGAGGCGCCCAGCAGGCTCGGAATCCTGCTGACATTTCCTCCCATCTTGCTCGCTCCCGTGGCTTCTGCGATCCCCTCCAGCCCCTGGCGTGGTGGGTGGCACGCAGGAGCCCTCAGTTTCTGGGCGGAAGCATAACTCCGTGGGACCGAGCGACTCCCGCCCGGGTGCCGCCCACCGCTCCCCGGCACCTGACTTCTATGCCCTCTGCAGTCCGAGCTCCTGCCCGCTGCATGCTGGAGACTCCTGTTCAGGTGTTTCGGTGGCACCTGGAACACCGTGTGCTGTTCCCTGAAGTGTACCCCGACCTCATCACGCTTCCTGCCGTTGCTGGTTCGGTTCAGATTGCCTACCAAGTTGAAACTACCACGACCCTTAGCTCCTTCCCTCCTTTGGTCTAGCATTTAGTCGTCAGCCTTTGCCAGTCCTCCCTCTTCAGCTGTCTGATCAGCAGAATTTAACCAAGTGTGGCTTGGTGCCTGGCTCGAAGCTAGATGCTGCAGGTGAGAGCCAGAGGCACGAGGGCAAGAGAGGTCTGGGCCCGTCATTCCAGCGGCCATTATCCCAGCCTCCGTCTAACGGGGTCTAACATACGGCCGTTTCGTAATCCGTCCTCCATGGCACTGCCAGGAGATCCTCTGTGACATGGTGTGGACCGCGTCCCTCCCGTTCAGAATCCCTTCGTGCCTTCATCTCTCCCTTAAACTCCTCCCTCCTCTTCCTGGCATTTTAAGTATCCAGACTGCACCCACCATTCCAACTTGATCTGGTTCCTCTGACTTCCCTTCACAGACCTTTGGCTCTAGGTGCAAATTTTTATCTAGTGGTAGAACTCTTTCACAGAGATAAACTTGGGGATACTGACACGGTACTCCCTGAAAGTTCTGGTTACAAGCGACAGGAACTACTTCTCATTAACTTAAAGCAGTAAAAGGGAGGGGCGCCTGGGTGGCGCAGTCGGTTAAGCGTCCGACTTCAGCCAGGTCACGATCTCGCGGTCCGTGAGTTCGAGCCCCGCGTCGGGCTCTGGGCTGATGGCTCGGAGCCTGGAGCCTGTTTCCGATTCTGTGTCTCCCTCTCTCTCTGCCCCTCCCCCGTTCATGCTCTGTCTCTCTCTGTCCCAAAAATAAAATAAAAAACGTTGAAAAAAAATTAAAAAAAAAAAAAAAAAAAAAAGCAGTAAAAGGGAAAGTCTATAGGAAGGCCCCTGAGCCAGCTCCCAGGATCCGAGCAGTTGCTGAAAGACAGAGGGAAGGGCAGGAACCAACCAGCTCTGGGGACTTCCTCAAGGCAGATTGTGATTTGGCCCCAGCAGATCCCAGGTTGGGAGTCTGTTTCCATTCAGGTTTCACATTCTTGGGCAAGAGATCTGACTGTTGCAGCTTTTGGTGGTGTGTCTAACTCTGGAACATTCAGTCATGGCTGGGGGTCAGGGTCATATAGCACAGACTTGGCCCCAGGGCCCTGGGACTGGGACTGTTCCCAGAGCGATGAGCTTCTCTGGAAGCCTGGCAGCCATCCCGGTCAGTGCCAACACGCCTACCTGCTCCTGGCTAGTCTTCTACTTTCTTACATTCGTTTGTGTTTCTTCCTGCCATTTTCTCGACCCCAGTGTCCCCACCTGTTGAGATTCTGCTTGCCTGTCAAGGGTCTAGCTGCAAGGAAGTTTTTTCTGATCCCTTCAGGTGATACTCACTTGGGATTTATTAGTCCCATCTAATGTGGCAGGCACATTTTATACATTACTGAATTTGACCTGCCTAAAATTTTGTTAAGGAGTTTTGCATTTATGTTCAAGAGTGATATTTGTTTATGGTCTTATAATTCTCTTGTTTTATTTGCTTTCAGAGTTATGTTTACCTTATGGAATAAATTCAGAACCATTTCCTACTCCTGGATTGTATACAGTTTGTATAGAACTGGTATGATTTCTTCCTTAACTGTTTGGTAGAATCCACCAGTGAATCCGTCTGGGCCTAGAGTTTTCTTTGAGGGAAGATTTTTAGCTACTCAGATTCTTCAGTAGATACAGGGCTAATGAAGCTTTATTTGTTCTTCTTGAGTGAACTTTGATAGCTTGTGTCTTTCGAGGAATTTGTCGTTACATCTAAATTGTCAAATTTATTGGTATACCCTTGTTCATTATGTTCCTTTATTATCCTTTCAATGTCTGTAGGATCTATAGTAATGTCCCCATTTTAATTCATGGTATTGGTAGTTTAGGTCTTGATTTTCTTTTTCCTGATCAGTTTGGCTAAAGATTTAACAATTTCATACTAATTTTATGGCTACTCAAAGAACTGTCTTTTGGTTTCATTGATTTTTCTGTACTCTTTTTCTGTTTTCTGTTTTATTAATTTCTGTTCATTATTTCTTACTGTTAGCTGCTTACTTCAGATTAATTTACTCCTCTTTTTGTAGTTTCTTAAGATGGACGCTGAGATCATTGATTTTTTTAAGCTAATCAGTTTTTTTCTTTTTCTGAAAGAATTTAACATATACTGAAATTAATCTTTTTTGTTTGTAGTTGTATGAATTGTAGCACAGGTGTGGGTTTGGTCAATACCACCATAATCAGGATTCATTACAATTCCATCAACCAAAACTTCCCTCATGCTATTATTCCTTGTCAGTCATACCCTTCCCATACCACTCCCAGATATTTAACTTTTTTTTTCTTTTGTGATGAGAGTTTAATACTATAAATTTCCCTCTAAGCACTACATTAGGTGTGTGCTTAGGCGCAATAAATTTTGATAGATGTGGTTTGATTTTATTCACTTAAAAATATTTTATAACCTCCCTTTTATTTATTCTTGTCTGTTGTGTCATCTGTGTAAATTCTAGTTATGTTTCTATTAGAGATTTTCCTCCTGGTTTGGTCTCTATTAGAGATTTTTCTGTCCTGGGTCATGGTCAAGTTACTTGGAATTGGTTTGATCCTTTGGAGGCTTTTAAGCTTTGCTGGTGCTGGTCCAGAACAGCCTTTTGTCTCAGGCTCACTTGGCCCCACTGCTGAGGGAGGCCCTTTCTGAAGAGTGTGCCCGGTGGGCCACAGTTGGGTGGTCTTTCCACACTGGCCGCTGGGAACATGAACTCTTGTCAGCATTGTGTGAGCCCCAGATCGTTCCACCTGCTGCGTTCCAGAAAGTCCTTCCCTTCCGTCACATGCATGTACAGAGCAGGACTTAGCGGACGCCTCAGATGGACCGTCTGCAGCTCTCTGGTCCTCCCTCCTCTCGGTTCCAGTCGCTTGGCCCCTCTGAGCTCCAAACTCTGCCTTCTCGACAGAGGGAGACTGTGGCCTTTCTTGGGATTTTCTCTTTCTGGGCCAAGGCCTGGAAACTCTTTCCAGACGGTGAACTGGAGCGGTCCCTGGGCCCGCTGCCTTCGTCTCCTCCCTCACAGGGTCACCCTCCAGCGCTGCTGCTTGCCCTGTCCAGTGTGTCGTAATCACTGTTTTATGTATTTTGCCTAGTTTTCTAGTTGCTTGAATCAGGAGGCTAAATCCAACCCAGCCTGGCTGAAAGCCATGGCACTTGAAAAAGCTTTATTGTGGTCTAATCGATGTACAATAAACTGCACATATGGAGAGTATACTCTGTGATAAGTTCTGACCTATGTTTGCACCCATGAAACCATCACCACAATCAAGACAGCGTGCCTATCCATCACCCCAAACCTCTCCTCCTGCCCCTTGGTCACCTTCCCCCTGCCCGCTTTCACCCCT